AATCAGCATATGGAAACAAATTAGCATCCTTTTCAATTAAAGAACAATTAACTTGCATGTTAGAGTTTTATTTATTTATTTATTTTACATGACCAAAGTCTAGGCAGTCTTTTCTCAAGGGTCACATTTTTGGGAATAGATTAGGTGTATGTAAATGTGCTGAAAAGTGAATGACAATCTCCTTCTTCCCCAGTCTTGTATATGGGAGTTCCAGATCATCCCACCCTGAGTCTGAGCTCCTCCACAGACAAGCCTACGCCACCCCACACCCTCTGCAGGGCTATGCCACCAATCACCACCCAGGGAGCTCTGGCCAAGGCGGGGCTTGGGGAGCAGCTGGACGTAGTTTGGGTGAGATAAATGTCATACCTTCCATGTCACCACCATAAGGGACCCCGACAATGACTTATTGTGTCTCTCCATGCAGGCCCTGGTAGATTGTCATTGAAAGATGATCACATTATAGCTCAGATGAATTGGAGCTGGAGCTGTTACAGCCCGATTTGTTGTCACAGCATTGATTTTCATACAGTTTTGCTGATGTTTTAGGTTTGTTTTCAACAAGAGAGGATGGTGTACTCATGGTTACAGTAAGAACTATAGACTTCTTGACTTAGATTCTTTGTATGGATGACAGCAGATTCAGCAAGTTTATATATTTTTTTGATAAGATTAAATCTTGGCAAAAATCTAACCAATTTCTTTCTCATTTATTTTTTATATTTAATTTGTTAATATTTGCATTCTTAATCAGTGTTCACTGTTCTGTCTTCCCAAAGGTCTTTCAGGGCTCTTTGACACTGGCCTGCACCATGCCAGCCCCTCTGCCCCCGATGCATCTGTCATGAATCTGATCTCTGCCCTGGAGTCCCGGGGTCCTCAGCCTCCACCCTCTGCCTCCTCCCTTCTCTCCCAGTTCCGCACACCATCCTGGCAGACAGGTGGGGCTGAGTTAGATCTTCCCTCTTGTGTTGACATTCAAACAGGCCCCACAGTCAACATGACATTTAAAGAACCTCCCAATGTTTCCTGCATTATTATTAACAGTTTTGCTATGTGTACATTTCCATATAGTATTTAAGCATTTTTACTGTACTTGATCATCTCACTTATGACTAATTTATTATTTCTTAATTCAAACGATAGCTCGATGGATATTGTGTAATTTTGAAATATGTCTTCCTTTTCCTAACAGCGATGCACACGCCTGCTCCTCCTGAACTATTCATCTCTGGAGCCCTTCCTGGCTCTGGATCCTTCCCCTCCTCCTCCGCTCTCTCAGCCTATCAGCATCCAGCATCCTTCTCCAGCCGTTCTTTCCCCACTGCCTCCCTTTCCCTCCAGGACACGCCCACATTTAGTCCAACATCCAATGGCCTGCTCTCCCCACATGACCCCCTACTACACATAAAGGCTCCTTCCCAGTCTAGTCTGGGTTTTGATAGACTCCTGTCCTCACAGGGTGCAGCTGCAGCTGCCTACAGGGGCAGCCAGGATCCCACGGGAGCCACATCAGCCCAGGCATCGTCCGCCAGGCACCTGCAGTCCCACCAGTTCAACCTGCTGTCATCACAGCTCCAGGACCAGTCCTCCCAGCTATATAATGCATCTGTCTTTTCTTCGGCCCAGCCCCAGGCTCAGTCTCAGTCGCAGTCAAATTCGGCTCAGGAACGGGCCGTGCCCCGCCAGGACAGTGTTATCAAGCATTACCAGCGGCCCACTCCAGCTCAATCACAGCTCTCATCCTCTGCTGCCCACTCCCTTCAGCACTATCTCAGCTGTGGAGGGGCGGGGTACCAGCAGATAGCCACCCACCACAGACACGCTGGCCTTTCTTGCAGCCCACTGGGAGACCAGAGCCCCTCATCTGACCACAAAGCCCCCTCTCGCACTGAACAATATCGGCCAATCATCCAGCCTCCCTATTCGTCATCCTCCTCTTCCTCGTCCTCGTCCTCAGCTGGCAAAGGTACGAAAAGCAGCTCCAGCAGTGGCTATTCTTCTGCCAGTTCAGCTTCATCATCAAGAACTCCTCACACACCCCCTTCTGCTTCCTCTACATCCTCTTCCTCCTCCTCTTCTTCTGCTACTTCTGGTGCTCATCCTTCCAACTCCATTCCCACCTCCAGCTCCAGCGCAGCCCCTTCCAGGCAGCAGCCACCCCCTCAGCCAGCTCCTCCTCCCCCAGCCCCTCAGCAGCAGCCTCCTTCCACCTCCTCCTCAGCACCCCAGTCTCTCCCCAAATCCTGCCTCTCAGGCTACGGTTCTCCTGTACCGCCAGTGAAGACCCCCACCGCTGCTCTTACTGGTCAGACCCCACCCCAACAACAAACACAGTCATATTCCCCTAATCAGCACCCTTCATCCCACCTGTCTCAATCCTATGGAGGCTTCAGTTCACCACAAGCGCAAGACCTGAGCTCAGGTACTGCTGGGAAAGGATACGGGAGTTTAGGTGGGCGAAGCCAGTCGTACTCCACTGATATATATGGAGCTGACTCTGCTTATGGATCACTTCCATCTTCACTGGGTGGAGCTGGAAGCCCGTCACTAGGCTACGGAGCCCCAGGCCACTCCCCTGCTCTTTTAAGATCAAGTGGCTCATCAGGTAGTGGAGCATCAGGGGGAGGAAGCAGTACTGGCACAGGAAGTGGGAACTCTGGCTCAGGAGGAGGAGCAGGAAACAGTATGACCAATGAGAGAGGTGGAGGAGGTAGTGGTGGTGGTTCCTATCATATTCCAGACTCTAGCCCCTCCCCATCAGGCAACTCGGGCATCATCCGTCCAGGGTTGCACTCCCCAGTGCCCACCTGCCCCACACAATCTCCAGGAGGTGCAGGCTCTAATAAATACATTTCCTCAGTTCTCTCCCCCACTTTCCTGGCCTCCCCACAGGGCTACCCTGACACCAGAGGCCCTAACTCCCAACCTCAGTCCTATCATTCCACCTCTTCTAAAACAAAGGCAGACACTTCTATGCTTGGGGTGGGCTCACAGAGATCACAAGAGGAAGTAGATGATGACGATGAGTTCTTGATACAGCACTTGCTGCAAGCCCAAGCAAGTCCCACTCCCCAGGCTGCTCATCACCATCCTCAACAACCGCCCCAACAGGCGTCCCAGCAAACTCAGTCTCAGTCCCAGCCAGTGCCCCCAACTACTGATTCAGGCAAAGGGCTGAGCTATGACATGGGTAAGACCTCTGAAGAGAGGTACCACCCCCAGAGTGTCATACGTACCCACAGTGCTACGTCAACGGCCGGAGTAGGAAATGCAGGGTCCGGGGGGTCAATATCAGGGCTGGACAGCCAGCTGGAGATGTCACTGAAGAAACAACAGCAGCAACATCAACAACATCACCATCAACAGCAGCAGCAGCAGAGGAACGAGAGGTCCGTTGGAAGCAGCAGAAGCACTGGAGGGAGGGGCAGCGCTGAACAAGTGCACTCTCATCTCCATCACCATGACAACCTAGGCTCGGTAGTTCACTATGGGAGGGGTGACCCATACTCCCAACACTCCCTTGCCCCCCAACACTCCTCACATAGTCAACATGTGACTTCTCACTCACAGATGCCGTCCCACCCCCAAATGGAGCTCCAAAAGAAGTCACAGGAGCGAGCTGACATCCCGTATCCTCGGAAAACACCGGAAGTCCAGCAGCAGCATTCCCAGTCTCAAGCTGCAGCCTCCCTCATGGACTCTCCCACCGATCAGTCCCGTCAGCCACCGCACCTGCTCCAGTCGGTGCTGTCCCACACCACCCGCAACAAACTGGAGCCTCATCAACAGCACCACAAAATGGACTCTCACCGGCAGCACCCGCAGCATCACAAAATGGACTCCCACCAACCACATCCGCAACACCCAAAAATGGACTCCCTCCCTCAACATCAGCAGCATCCGAAGATGGACTCCCATCAGCATCAGCAGCACCACAAAATTGATTCTCACTCACAACATCAACAGCACCATAAAATGGACTCTCATGCCCAACAGCAGCACTCAATTAGCCAACAGCAAGCTGTAATGGAAAGCGCTGGTGGGAGACTTGGTGCAAGTAAACATCAAGCTCAGTCTCAGTCCCAAACCACCCAGCTCCAGCTTCAACTCCAGTCCCAGGCTTTGGAAGTTGCTGCGGCTCACTACAACCACGGCCCCCCTCCTCATCAGCACGAGCAGAGTCAGGTGAAACAAAGCACAGTGGTCTCTTCCTTGGACATGCTGGAGCGCTCCCTCTCTCAGACGTCCAGTGCAGACGTAGCTGAAGACAGACGCGGTGGACCCGGCAGCGGCGGGAGGAGCGGAGGAAGCAGCGAGCGACACAGACAGCAGGAGCAGCATCCGTCCCATCACCACTCACAGCAACACTCAGCCTCAGAACTCCACTCCTTCCTCTCTGAGCCTGACATGAGCTTATCTGCCCCATCTCACATGCACCACCTCTCACAGCACCACCCTCAGCATCAACAAACCCACTCACATCACCCTCACTCGCAACCCCCACTCCCTCACCACATATCCGCAACCTCTGCCTCGGCCCACTCCCAGCCTCAGCCTGACCCACAGCAGCCGCTCTCATCCCAGCTCACCCCTCAGCAGAGCCAGCTGGACCAGCAGCGCTCGGAGCAACACCAGTTTGACACAGTCAGCCCAGTGGAGAAAGCAGATCAGAATCAACAGAGTAACCGCTTTGTGCCCCTAACTTCTATCTGCTTCCCGGATTCCCTCCTTCAGGATGAGGACCGCTCCTTTTTTCCAGGAATGGAAGACATGTTTTGCACAGAGGACTACAAGTCAAGCTGTGCAGGGGGTGGAGGTCCAGGGCAGGGAGAGATGAATGAAAGCCACCCTGGGCAGGAGGGAATGGACTCCATGAAAGCCGGACAGAGTGCGGGTGGAGCAGGGGGAGGTGGCGGAGCGGGCTATGACATAATGGGTCACCATGGTGGAGATCAGGGTTATGAATCATACTGTCATGGCCTGGAAGAGCCCAGCAACAACACCATGACTCTGGATTTAGACTCCCTTAAAACCCATGAGCTCCCCTCCACTGTCAACACTGAGCAGCTTGGACTGATACAGTCCCAGGGCCCAGCTATGGGTATGGGCCCCAATCCTGCTGGTCCCAACAATGTTGGAGCCAAAATGTCCGCTGGGCCTGGAGGAAGTAATGCAGGAAGTGGTTCTGGAGGCCTCCAGTCTCCCATTTTCTGCTCGTCTCGTCCCAAGAAGCTGCTCAAGTCCAGCTCTTTCCACCTGTTAAAGGAGCGCAGGGACCCCAACACACTGCCTAAGAAAAGTTACGCTCAAGAGTATGAGTTTGAAGATGATGAGGATAAAGCTGATCAGCCAGCTGACATACGCTTAAACAGCCGGAGGCTCCCGGACCTGTTACCAGACCTGGTGTCTAGTTGCAGAAAGGGAGGAGGAAGTGGCTCTCTCAGCCCTTTAATGGGTGACATTGACTTCTACCACCCCTCTGGATACACATCTATGGGTTCACACTCTCTTATGCCTCAGGATGGACCGAAGAAGCGGGGCCGAAAGCCTACTAGACCCAAGAGAGAGGGTCCCCCTAGGCCAAGAGGCAGGCCTCGCATCCGCCCGATGCCTGAGCCATACACTCCGAGAGGGATGATGGGGGAGATGGGTGGAACAACAGTGGGAGGAGGATTCAGCGTGGAGGGAAGAGGCAGAGGCAGGGGTCGTGGAAGCAGAGGTAGAGGAGGAAGGAGGGAGGACATGTACATGGAAATGAGTGGGAAGGAGCAGGATCAGATGCATCACCATCACCTACATCAGCAGCAGCAGCTCCATCACCAGCCCCAACAGCAGCAACACGAACCTATTCCTCCTCTGAAGGTCAGTGGCTTTCTGTCTAGAAAAAAGTTTGGGGATTTTCAAATAAATCAAGTCACAGATGTGGTTCACATATCAGTTCTTTAACTGATAAGAATGAGAAATCCAAAGATACCTGCAGTGGTTTGTGTTGCATGTGCATAAAGCTAAAAATATGAAATGCATTACTTGAAATATTTCTGTTTCATCTCTTTTGTTTTAGATAAAATTACCTATCGGTACCCTGTCCTCCTCCGATGCCTTGCTGAGGACAGACTCTTTGTCTGGCACGGACCCAGCTCTGTCTGATGGCTCTGTGGGCTCAGCTCCCTCACTTGGTCTAAGTCCTGGACCCCCCTGCAGCACAGAAAGCACCAGAAGTCAGGACAAGAACAAACAGAAAATACAGATGATGGGTGAAGGGGTCGATGATGATGGGATGGAGGAAAGGGTAACGGCTACGGGATTGTATCCTAGCTTTGTTAAGTAGAGAATGCTTTAAGATGCTTAAAGATCAAATTGATTGGATTTATTTTAAGTTCATGGCTTGATAGATGTGGCTTTTGTTTTCTCAGGGCGATGATAAGGACTCTGAGTCCAAGGCTGGCTTCGTTGCTTCATTCTTGGACTTCCTCAAGACGGGGAAGAGACCTCCAGGCTTGGACATCTCACCAGGAATGGAGCATGACAATGGGGAAACCTCACCGTGTAAACCAGGGGGTCTGCGCCCACTGTCTCCTGCACCTCCTCCTCCACCCCCGCCACCTCCATTTGGGGATGGCGAAGGGAATGGTGGTCTGGCCCTGGGCAACTGCCCCAGCCCCAAGCGCTTGGAAGATGAGCTAAAGAGGAACCTGGAGACCCTGCCCTCATTCTCTTCTGATGAGGAAGACTCAGTGGGAAAGAACCAGGACCTCCAGAAGAGCATCTCCTCGGCCATTTCTGCTCTGTATGACACTCCTCAGCTCACCTCGAACATCCAGCCCCAACTCCCTCCTCCTCCACCTCCCCAGCCTCAGTCTCAATCCACCCAGGGCCCTCTCACTCCCACACTGCCACCCCCCACGCTCAGCCCACAGCCCACCATGCATACTCCCCACAACCAGCCCCAATCTGATGAACCTGATGATCTCCAGCCCGAAGATGGAGACATGGAGGAGGTGAACAAGGAGGAGGAGATTGAGGAGGAAAGAAGCACAGGAGGGGACGAAGAGAATGATATGACAGAAGAGAGTGAACCACAGCTGGAAACCCTGGGTGCACCTAAGCATGATGGTAAGGCAGATTTTTATTCATTACGTGTCCCTTTTTCTTGCACATCAATTTTCTTTTTACCCTGAGTTATAATAAGTATAAA